TTAGTGATAGGGATTGTGTTTGTTGCATCCAGAGGAACAAGAGTGACAGGAATTCCAGAATGAATCACCTAAATATCCACATATTTTTTTATAATCAACTAAATAAAGTTTATATAATGCTCCTCCATAAATGATACCACTTCAGACTTATCTATAAAAAAAATTTTACAGTTATAAATTTCTAATGTGAGTTTATGTTCTTAAGTAGGTATAATAAACAAAGTTAAACACCATATATGATTTCATACTGTATGTAAATATGTGTAAACTTCGTTATAAAAGTCGATTTTGTAATTGTAAAATTAAGTTAGGTTTGAAATACACTTTTTAAGAATAAAAATTACAATAAAAACTTAAAAAATAATGAAATATTATTTACATTACTATTTAATATAAATAATGAAGAATTCTGATTTTTATAAAAAATAAATAAAAATGAGTATAAAGAGTTAAAAGAAAAAGTAGCATATATAATGTTTGCATATTTATATATAGGCAACTTTGAAGAATGCATTAATTACTAAAAAAGTTTGTGTTAATGTTAAACAGTTTGAATGAAGAAGTGGTTTTATGCATATGGAAATGTGTATCTGACCTGGTATGCTGCAAAAGGATCTCCAAATATATTGAATTCTGCAAAAGGGTTAGTATTATAGTCTGTGAATATGTTCCCCCGATCACCGCACTGGCGAGGCACGCAGGAAGATGAAGCATTCTTAGGGCAACAACCTGTTGGATTGCTTGACCTTACGCCCCCACCCATTATATAGATACGCTCCACATTTTTCTTCAGATGTGGGTTATTCATTAGAAAGATTCCAATGTTCGTGTGTGCTCCAATCACAAGCACTGTTATCGGACCAGAAGATATTTTTTCAATCAACACTTCCTGTGCGCTTGCTTGTTGCATTGGACTGTATTTCCTTCTTCCCTTATTTCGTCATACAATTATCAACCAAATCTCTAAACACAATTAATCATGTTCTAAACATAATAAATCCTTAAATAAGTACGATTTGAATTTTACACACCTGTGGTAGGAAAGCTTTCCTGATACCATAATTGGCATCATTGTCCAAACGCCCTCCAACAGCAATAGGAATGGCTCGCCTGTACCTGCAATCTCCAACTGTTGTCATTCCCTGATTCAAGAGAATAATAATCCTTAAAACACATGCACATAAATTCACTTTTTCCATATAATATATAATTTGAACCATTTTAAATAATCCAAAAGTTTTTCTAACTACACCTAGTAGTCTCATATATACTATCTTGAAACTCTCAACTCCAAGTAGATAATACTGCAAATATAATTTTACTGTATCAACCGAGATGAAGTGTAGCCATTAGATTTACAAACACATTTTTCTTTTTTATATGATTTGTCATCTTAAATATAACTGTGACAGTTGAGAAAATTCTGACTTAACTATGTTTTCCTTATCAACAATATTCCAGGTATTTAAGAAAACTTAAGCTTTGCAAACGGTAAAGAAATGATATAATATTAGGTAAGAAACCTGTTCTATGATGGGAAGATATCCACCAACGTTAGGGAGTATGGTACCATTTGGGAGTATTCCACCCTCACCGCCAACTCCAACTGCAACATCATCTCGATCCATCATGTATAGCAAATCATAAATTTGATTAACACCATGTCCAGCACTGGTCCAAGCATTTGCACTAATGGTAATTGCCTGAAAATGACACAAAAAATACCTTCATAACTAGTTCATAAACAAATTAGGAAATTATTTTCAAACCATATTTCACCCTAATACTTCCTTCAAGAGGATATAATATAATCTTTCTTTCTTTTACTTTTTAGTTTATTACTTATACTTAAATATAAATCACCAAAATGTCAATTAATTTCAGTGATCAATAAAGTAGTACTTGACAAAATACTACTTTATTTGGAAAGGAATTCAAGAAATGTATCATCTGTTTGGTACTAGTTTACAATATAGGAGGGCTTTCCGGGAATTGATTTCATATTATTTGTGAGGGTTGTGTGTGTATTGGATTTAGGTTTTTTGGGAGGATTTGTGCTGATTTATAGGAAATTTTGAAAGAGAGCACGCACAATAAGGTGGGAAGAAAATAGTGATTTTGTGCAATAATTTACTCTCATATTCAATATTTATTTTTAAAAAAATATTTATATTTGTTAGTTTTATTTTTCTTATAAATATTATTAGAGTTATTAAATCATATTTTTAAATATTAATATATTTAAGAAATAATTTATTTTTATTTTCTCAACTACTTTTATAACAAAAAAAAAAAGGTATAAAACCAATCCGTCAAAATACTTCCATCCTCTTTTATTCAAATTATTACAAATCAATCATTCATATTTTATACTCCCTGCCAAACAAAGGAGTAAAGTAAACCATTGGAAAGATATAGACAAATAAGAAAGTAAAAAATAGTATATAACGTGACCTGAAAAAAAATATATATTTAAATATCCAACAATCTGAATCATTGGGTCAGAATAGATAAAAATTCTCGCACGCCACGTCTAAGACTATCGATAACTGGGAAGGCATGCCTGTTCTATCTAAAATTAAATTAAAAAAACAAAAACTCATCAATAAGCTTTTATTTTGGTAATAAAAGACTCTTGAATAATTTGGTACAAAAGAAGTATTAGTATTTAGGTTGAGAAAAAATGAATGAAATGATTCACAAAGGAGGGAAAAAATCAGAAGAAGAAAGAGATGTGTTGCATTGATTTGACAGAAGACTTACCTCCAATTTAAACTGTGATGTGTTGAGTTTCAAAAGGTAGAGAAGAGCAAAGAAATCGTCGGTGTCTACATCTGTATCCACCAGAATCCGATGAGGCTTTCCCTCCACACAGCCTCCTACAATCAACAACACCACTGCTACTGCTACCAACATTCTCACCATCCTTCAAACAAACACTATACCTGCAATTTTTTCAATTTGAAGAAGCAGAGTACCATTACCAAACAGATAGTTGAATTTGAGGAAAGAAATAGCACCGCTTGCACACCAAATCCTTATGCAGTAAATTGGCGATTAAATCTTGGGTTGTTTTGTGGGTCTTGTTTTCTACAACTACAGCAGCTAAAAGATGACAACAACCCGAACTTTGTGTTTGAAGTTGTGTCTTTTTTTCTTTGAAGATTCCGAGAGGCTTTTCAATGACCTTACCTTTGCTATGCGAGTTTGCAACTGTAATGGGTGTGGATTCAAAACAGGGGAGATCAGAAATAGAATAAATAAACGGTATGCTCTGTAATATGCATTGTTTCTCAAGAGTTTCTTACAGTGGGAGTGATGGCTACTGACAAGGTAGCAAAAATTACAGAGACCAGATGCACAAAGAAAACTACAAAGGAAACGTCAAAGACTGCAGAGGAAAGAATTAGAGAGAAGGGATCACAATCATACCTTCCTCAGTGTTCTCTCTCCCCTAATAAACTTTTTAAATATCCTCATACCCACTAAATTTGTGTTTGCTTTTTTTCTTTTACAACTTTTCCCCCCTTATTTTAATATAATTTTATAACTTTAATTATTTTTATTTTAAATAATAATTCATATTTCATTTTAATGTAACTTTTATTTATTAATATTTATTTTAACTTATTTTTATCAATAAGATAAAATGATAATTATTTTACTTTGATGATTAAAATATTTTTTAATTAATTAAACCTATAATTTTTTTAAAATAATTTCTTTATTTTTTACCATCTTTTCTTTAATTTATACAATCTCATTTTCTTTTTTTACTTTATCAAATAACTAATTGTTGCATTGCTTTCTTCAATTTCTGTCAGAAACTTATTTATCTTTATAATGTTAAAATACAAACAGAATTTCACATTAAACAAAATAAAAAATAAATATAAATTTATATATATATATATATATATATATATATATATATATATATATAATATTTTCAATAGTAAAAAGTTTTTTAAAATAATATAAAAGCAAATCTGTAAAAGACTTACTTAAAACGAATAATATTTATTATTATAAAAAATTATCTTTGTTGTTCTCTACTCACTAGGTAAAAGAAAAGTAGTGCCGTGTCAAGAATAAGCTCGAAACACTGATAAGGGAATGATAACAAAAACTTTAACTGAAAAACATTTTGTTTAATTCTGATTTGTAATCTATGCATTCTTTTTATTTGGTGGAGTATGGATTTTCATAAACAGATATATGTTCCTTTTTATCTAGTTCATAACAAGACCTTCTCTTTAACTTTTTCTTGTCTACCTTGGGAGACAAATTTTGTGCATCAAATTGTACAATCGATATATTATTATTAGATGTTTAAATTCTTCAATCCCCTTTGATATTAAGAGAACTAAAATTATTTCTATTCAAAAACGGGTTGTAAATCTATATTTAACATAACCTGATGAAAAAAAAAACATTTAAAAAGGTAAGTGACAAATATCTTTTTCTCTTTTAAGGGAATGGAATATAAACCTTATCAAACCCCTTTTAAATTGATACAGAGAAGTTAAATCAGTTTCAAGGGTGGTTAGTATTCATTACATTGTATTTTGTTAGACTTCCTCAGGTTGATTCTATGCAAGTAAACCAGGTAAAGTGTTTGGAGTATTTGGGTGGGGCAAGATCCTAGATTAGTGACAATGCTATCATTATGTGGTAAATGTAGCAAAGTTACATTCTTTATTGCAGATATAAAGTTACTTTATTTTGGAATATGAAAGTGGGAAGAAAAGCTGAAATTTTTCTTAAATTGGTATTCAATATAATGGGAATCCTGAAAAGATATGATGCTTTCAAATCACTCCTAGTATTATAACGTGACAATTAATAAATAGTATTCTGTAATATATATATATATATATATATATATATATATATATATAGTTATTTCTGATAAGGTAGTTAAGTTTCAATAAACCATTTTTCTTTAAGGGATACATATTGTATGATAATTTAAAGTATGCAAAGTAGTCCTCGAAGACACCTTTCTTTTTTTCTTCATTGCTCAAAGTTGGACGCAGTAGCAATTAAGAAGTAAAAAGTAGATTGAAATTTGCCTAAGAATATGATATACATTGTCTCATTGAATTAGAAATAAATTCACTTACTAAACAAAGTGAAGTGATGATCTCTAATTTTAATTGTGAGGATGACTCCACCTTCTCTGCTGTTCCTCAAAGCTACTTATCTTAGCTGACTGTTCCTTATGACCAAGCTTGTTTGCATACAAACTATGGTAAGCCTTGGCGTCCACACTCCTTAAAATTCTCACTAATTTTCCACCTCTTTCATTCACCACAACTTTTCCATCACTTGATTCATTGCCATCAGCCAAGACTTTAATGGGCTTCTCCTCGAATTTTGGATCAAGACCTGAATAGCTATCACCCAAGACAACTGCACCTAGAATTTCTCCCAAGAACGTACCCTGCAAACAAGTTTAAGCATAAACTCTGAGGTTAAGATGCGCAAAGCTAGAAAGAAAAAGACTGTGGACAGGAAGTTGTACCATATGACGATATATGCTATGAGATTGCTTTAAACGGTATAGCCTTGACAGCAGACGCTCGGAAAACACGGCCTCTGGTGTTCTTGGTGTTCTACGCAATTCGCCTATAATGGCTGAAAACGAACTTGCTATGCGCTGGGTATCGAGTGGAATGAGTGTGATGTTAACTTCTGATTCAAACACTGTCTTGGCTGCTAAAGGATCCAAGAACATATTGAACTCAGCATATTGGTTGGAAGGAACTGAAAAGATATTTCCTTTGCCATTGACAGTGCTGCTAATGTGTCCCCCAACTACATATACATCCTGCAACGTTTTTGAATTGTTATTCCTTGCTCCGCTTCTATTAGTACAATACGCATATTTTAATCATTCGTTGGAAACATGTCAAATGCAGAATCAAATGTTTCCTTTTGGGTAATTTTTCCAAAATGATTAGAATTTTGTTTTTCTGGGGTTACTCTCGAGCCACTTTCATAGCAGCTAATTGTTCTTGCTGATATACGTAACTATTTCAAATAGATGGTAACAAATACATATAATATAACTCACCTGAATTTTTGAGCTTATGTTTTTCACCGATACAACCCTTGCCAGATTAGTCAAGGGTCCATTAGTCAATACTGTAATCTTAGACTTTGGTTTAGTTTTTTGTAATATAGACTCCCAAACTTCCATGGCCAGTGGTTGTCTGAGTTCAGGGTGATCTGTGTCTCGAGGAGCTCCAAACTTCACCGAGTTCTCTGCTGTATACCTGAAATGGTTCGTGCGTTAGCCAGTTGCTGGTAACAAACACTGAAAATATTTAAGTGCGAACAAGCCAGTGTATAACCTTGTTACGAGCTATCAAAGGCACAAAATGCATGAAACACTTAACAAAGGTTACGCAAGAATTTAATGAAATATCATAATATTACACTATTCGAGTAAAATATTATAACACTGTTCATTTTTGCATGACATAGATTCCATCATTTCTCTACTTTCAGCAGCGTCCATTCCACTCTGCCTAATGTTTATAGAATACATTCAAAGCCATAAAAGTAACATAAAATCACCTTCTTGGGCTGCGTGGTAGATCACGAGCAAGACCATAAAGAGTGTCAGAGTCCAGTAACCCCCCACTTCCATGGGGAATGGCTTTTATATACTTGCATTCTCCAACAGCTCCGAATATTGGATCTGATTGATTCATTGCAAAAACATCTCCAAGACCAACTGGGATATCGTCACGACCCATCATGTGCAGTAAGTCATAGACGGAATCTATTGTTGCTGCATTAGTCCATCCAGTAGGACTCACAATGATTGCCTGAGTGCAATTGCGTATATATTTCAACATAATATTGAAATTCTTAAGAACTTAAGTGCAAATCGAATAAACAATTAAGAATGAAAAAACAAGAATACCTTAAGGTCGATTACTTGAACAGGCACTTTTAGGAGGTAAAATAGAGCAAGAAAATCTCCTGCACTCATGTCCATGTCAAACACAACAGGTTTCCCCAGTGTTTTATTTTAAAAATTTGGCTTGTAAGTTACTTCTTTGTAATAAGGAAACTGTGTGGTGAAGTTAAACCTCCCTGAATTTTGTGGATCCTTCAGAGCCTTTCATTAGACAGAATACAAAAATTCAGATTCATATACACTTTCCATTTTTAGAATCCGTTCATATAGTCAGATCACAAATTAACATTCACTTTTCCTAACACGGAATGATAAAACAGTGTGATTCATAAATCATGAAAGAAGTTTGAACAATATAGTAAGAAATGTACTATACATTCAAGAAGCTTATGATATATTCTCTGTCAAGTTTGCTCCCAACGTCCTTGTTAGGCTTTGCTTTTGTGGCAACAAGTACCCTCACTGAGTCTGGACCACTTACCTCTTTGGTGTAACCATCCTGTGTATAGAACATGTTTTGGTACATAACACGTTAAGATTTACTATATGTAGGTGTGAAATTGGACGTAACAAATTGAAGTTGCAAGCCAAAAGGGAAAGCAAGAATTACCTGACATCTACCTTTCCCATTTTTCACAAAGCAAAGTGGATCTCTAAGCCCTTGTTGAACATGACCACTATGCACCCCAGCTTTCTCTAGATTGAACTTAGGAACTCTTCGGCCATCAAAGAAAGGGTTCGAGCCATCAGATGTCCCATAAGGTTTGTTTGAAGTTATAACAGTTATGTTCATATACTTCATTTCAGAAAATTCATTTTCTCCATTATGGTTATTGGGTTTACTCATGGTTGAGACTGCTATACCAGCTGCGAAAGAGTCCCACATGAAATAACTCTGCCAACAATGAATTCGTATTAGACGAAGAGTAGTTACTTTACTTTAATAATTGGCACGCATGGCTTCATTAAGAAATTACCGAATAGAATTGGTCGTCAAACCAAGTATCACGAGACATTTTCACGGATTTGAAACAGTACTGTGCCTCGTATGTGTCTTGGCTCTTTTCAAATTCGTCAAAGAATTCCTTAGTGATAGGGATTGTGTTTGTTGCATCCAGAGGAACAAGAGTGACAGGAATTCCAGAATGAATCACCTAAATATCCACATATTTTCTGGTCATCAACATATTTTTTATATGACTTCAATCAACTAAACAAAGGTTACAT